GGCCCATCGATCCAGCCTGTCCAGGTCCCTCTGCAGAGCCTTCCTACCCTCGAGCAGATCAACACTGCCGCCCAACTTGGTGTCGTCTGCAAACTTACTGAGGGTGCACTCGATCCCCTCGTCCAGATCATTGATAAAGGTATTAAACAGAACTGGCCCCAATACCGAGCCCTGGGGAACACCGCCCGTGACCGGCCGCCAACGGGATTGAACTCCGTTCACCACCACTCTCTGGGCCCGGCCGTCCAGCCAGTTTTTGACCCAGCGCAGAGTACACCTGTCTAAGCCGTGAGCCGTGATTTCTTGCATCTCTGCAACATTCTCACCATTAAAGACCAAGGCAAAGAAAGTTACTTAACTTCTCAGCAATTCCTTTTCCTTCCTGCTTTGCTCTTTTACTCCCTGTGATTTAGGACATCTAATGATTATTGCACATACTGGCTTTTTTTGGCCATATCTGAAGACACTTGTCTTGTCTCTATTTACTGTAGGTACCAAGAGCATTCACCAGAAATGAACTGCTTTTAGTAATAGAAAGCTCAGCAAACAAATGTGAAAGTTAAAAAAAAGTCATCTGTTACCACAGGAATGCAAACATTTGCTGAAGTACTTTACTTTTAAGAATTTGTATAGATGGACTGCTTTCAGTGGGATTACTCATGTGAGTCAAGGCAATTCCATAACTAAATGTTTTGTTTATTGATTTTTGAATTTGAAAAACTGCAAATATCAGGAATTTGAAATACTTACCAACCACCTCTTTAACGTGATAGGATTGATGTTGAAGTCTTTTACCAACCCAAGATCATGGTACATGTGTTCCAAACAACTCAGCATCTGCAGCCAGGAACAGATAGGTTATTGGCTTGGTAAATAGCACTTTACGATACATTGCAGAATGAATTTCCTCCTTGCAAGCATCGAATAATTGCAGACCCCTCTTGTTAAGACGAAAGAAAGATGTTCAAAGATTGCATGATTAAAGACAGCGCAAGAGGGGAGACAGAGAGGTTCTGAAAGCTTTTTGAAGTAGACAGATTGCTGTTGACTTCATAGGTTTTGTGCAGGGATTTGAATCACACCAGCTCTCTTTAGTAATTGTAATTCATGCGTAGCATAGCAATTCCTTCTCACAAAAAAAGTATTGCCATTTTTCTAATTCGGCTGGGATATGTTCTAACGCTCAATGAAATCAGTGGGAGTTTTTCCACTGACTCCAAAGGCCCTAGTTGTACAGAAATGGATGAGGCCCTAGCTGTGTGGAAAATGGCGGCAGAAAATAAGAGATCCTTAAAGAAACATTTATTCTAGATATGTGTCAGTATCTTCTTTCTTTATGACTTCTCGTGAGTTCCTAACTCCACTGTCTTAACTCGCATTTCTTGTTTAACAAAAGATCTCCCATTAGAACCCTAGAAAATTGCAGCAGGTTTGTAACCATCCACTCCCATAAACTATAACCATGAATCCTAATAGCTGAAATGCAAAGGCAGGCTGCTCTTTTGAGACAACATCTGCTCTGAGGTAGGAAGGGGGATGCAGATAGTTTAGCACTACCACTCCCAGTTAATCTTCTGGATTTGAAAATGTTGCAAAAGAAAGGTATTGATAATCTGATGTGTCTGGGCACTTAACAGCTGCCACCAGTCAGAAATGAACAGCATTCCAGGAGTTCAGGAGTTTATATATCTGCATTCCCACTCCTGAAGGCAAAATCTACAGGGGATGAAATGTAGCCATTATATTAGCAGATGCAGTTTTTAGACTGTAGACTGATCCAGGGATTTTAACATGATGAGTGTAATGTCACAAATATAGCCTTGGAGACCTTTTTAGTTAGGTTTCTGTTATTTAGGCTCTTAAAAACTCTCCAGAAGAATGATTTCATCTAATGAAACTTTATATTTATCCAGGGAATATACATAGTTCATGCAGTAACAAGGGGGCCGGTCTTGAGTCATCCGAACCGGAAGAAAGAGACTTTCTTGAAAGACTTGAGGGATGATGTCACGAGCTGAATTGTGCCCACATCACATGGACAGCATTTTTCTGTAGACCACCTTGTCTTGTTCCTAGTCCCTGAGGTAGAATATATGTTTTGCAATAGTTTCAGAAAAGACTTTCCGAGACAATGAACTCAATCCAGAAGGGCTGTATTACCCTCAGAAATGCCTATCTCCCTCCAGCTGTTGCCAAGAGAGCTTTGGGTGAGTGGCAGGGTGACTCTGAGTCCCAAAGCTCCTGCCCCTGAACGCATGAGAATCTCAGTTTTCTTTTTTAGCTTTCTTGGTCAACAGCACAAGCTTGAATATTGGACTCTTCTAAGGCTTGAAAGTGAGTGGGCATTTGAGAAAGAGAACGCAAGCTTGCTGCATAGCGCTGTTTACTGAGATGCTGCAGAGCACATTATTAATTTGCTTGCAGAAGACTATGGTTTATAACCTGCCTGCCCCACATTGAGCACGTGGGCAAATGCTTATTGCTAAACAAGCATTGACAGAATTGAAATATTCTCTGTAAACATAAACCAGAGCTAAAAGGGTGAGATAAACCCATATGGTGCTCGGCTCACTAGAGCTTGTGTGGTATCTTATTTCTGAGCAGCACTCCTCCTTGCAAGGCATGTCTCATCTCTGCACCCTCTTGTTAGCCTCGTTCATGCCGCCATATAGTGATTCCTAGGACTCTGAATGAGATACTGTGCTAAAATACTATGCCTCAGCACACAAGAATCCGTGGATAATGGTTTTTGTCTCTCCCTATTCTTTCTTAACAGTCAGAACAACAATGACCCAACAGTGTTATGGTCCACCTGGCAGGTCGTAATTCTCTCTTGCTGTAAAGACCTGACAGGCATTCAAAAGCTGGGGGCGAGCCATTTTGCCTGAGCAGTTGTATGGCCGTGGTACAGAGAAAAGGGGCTGGAGAGGGAGCAGTAACCGCAGAGCACCAGCCTCAGCTTGGCATGGACTGCACAAGGGAAGCTCTGCCAGCCTCTGTGAATGGGAGATGGACCTAAAGCCACCAGAAAGTCCTTCTGTTATTCCACCAGCCAGATGAAATTTCCTGAAGGGAATATGCTGTTCCCGTGGGTGCGGTATGGGGTATTTTTCCTTGTCATGTTGATCTGCAGGTGCTGAGCCAGAATGACGCTTGTATGCACAACATCTGATTGAGAAGGTAATTAAGGTGATTGCTGCTGGGGGTGCTGCTAGAACCACCCAACCCTTCCCTTGGGAAAAACCCAACACTAAAACCCTAGTTTAGTCCTGCCCTCCCTTACGTTTTTCCTAGGTGAGATTTGCTCCTATTTGCTTAATCTAGTTTTACATTATATTATAAGCTGACCATTACAGAAACATCCTTCTCCTTCATGTTTCTGCAGAGGTTTACATATGTGCTTTCCAGAACCTTCTGCAATACAAGTGACAAACAAAGAATAATACTAATAGCTATAAGAAAAATAAGAAAATGAAGCAATAAGAAAATACTAATAGGCCATGCATGCAGCTTTGCAACCTCTTCAGAAGACACCGCAGAAAAACCCTTGCCTAAAAGGCTGTGAATCAATGCATGCACCTCTGCCTGGCTTCACACAGAAGCACCCAGCTTCATTGACTTGAGCAGAGTTATTGATGATGTGCTTAAGCACACACTTTGCTAGGGATCGATTTATTCAGATAAAATGGCACAAGAGAACTCATGTGGCAGTAATGATAGTGCTTTGGTTGTTGTGGGACGTTTCTAGGAAGAGATTAAAGAAAAAATAAAGAGGGATCAGGTTATGATAATCAGCATA